GCCGTTATAAAGCTTAAACCATAGAGCTGCTCCAAGTGATTTATTTAGTACAAACCACAGTTCGTGTAGTTATAATGTAAGTGACCAGATAAAAACGCTGTTTTTCTGATTCGTTTACTTCGATGGGACTTATGATAATGAGTATCATCATATTCACTTCCCGCTTAAAGAGATTTTCAGCACAAAACAAAGTGTTTTAGAGAAGAGCAAGCCTGTAAAGTTGCCAGCTGGAAAAGAGGAGATGCATGACACTTCACAGGATCCCAAGGTGGCAGCACTAGGGATGCCGTGACTTAAAACAAAAAATAAAAACCTCTCTTTTAAATACGTCTTTTAGCTTTTTTTTCCCTTTTCTTTCTTTTTCTCCTAGTAAAACACTCCCATTGCTAGGTATAGTCTAGCACTCTACCCTAATCTGAAGGTAATATAATTGCTTATGTGCACACAGAATATTGTTCAGAGGGAGGACTCTCACCTTTGTTTACATATTAAAAACTTATGTATTTTACCAGATCCTTTTTATTAATGATTTGTGTCAAGTGTCAACCACACCAAATTAAACGTAAACACAATGGTCTTAAATTGCTTTAGTAAAGTGACCTTAAACTTGCTGAACGCAAATGAAAGAGAATCAACCTCTTCAAAGTGTACTCTAGACTTAAAATTCAAGAAGCAATAAAATATTATCTGTTGTCAGTGAACTGTACTGACTTGTTATTCCACCCATATCTTTTCTAAAGCAAGGTGTTTGAGAAATCTTAATTCTAAAATATATATATTTATATATATATAAACAATAAACCCCAAACTTTCATTTTTTTCCATCATCGGCTTCTCTTCTTCAAGAGGTATTCATTAAAAAGAAGTATTTGTTAAAAGGAAGGCTTTCAAAAATAAAATCCTCTCTCTGCATTTTCAGAGTAGATAACTGTGATAAAAAGACAAAACTGTGATAAAAGGTTTAGATATAACTGTGATAAAAGGTTTAGAAAACCAGCAAACTGATTCCAGCTGCTTAACTAAAACACTAATGAAACTCAATAGACTTTCCCTTAAGCTCTGCTTGCCAAAGCAAGCTGTTGGAAAAGAGAGTATCTAAGTTGTCTGACAAGCATGGATCTTTAAACCTAGTTGCAGGGAATTTGTAGCTTTATGACAACTGTATTAAGACTTTATAAATTCTGAACCCAACACAAGATCAGCTGCTTTAGCACACGCTGGTGCCAGTCCAACGTCTTCCAGCTGTTCTGCAAGTAACGGGAACGCTCTCAGCTCGCCAGCTAAAGAGAAAGTGCAAGATGTAAACAAAACAATCCATAAATTTTCTAAATATTCTGGATTACAACATGAGCATTAGGGTATCTTATCTTGCAAGCGGGATTTTAGAACTCATAGTGGCTCCTCAGAGCATGCCTGCAATAACTGGAATGATACAATTTTGCTTTGACTCACTGATACTGCCTGTTCATAAAAGAAACGCACATTGCAGCAGATTGCTTCACGCCAAGGGTGGGTACTCCAGACAAGGAATTTTCCCAGGAGGAAAAGAAAAAATCACCTATCAGCAACTACAAAATTCCACAAGCAGCCACTGGTATCACAATTTCATTTTCTCTGCTTTAGAGGGTCTAAGTTCCTGTTCTGTTGCTTTTCGCCAAACCCCACTGTTCAGAGTGACAGCAAGAACTGGCAAGAGCAGCATTAACCCACCACCTTTTACACTGATTTTATTTTAGAATAACACTCAAGATTTTCTAAAAAACCCTCCTGGATCAAGCAGACACAGCTACTCCTCACCCCTGGGTGCTGTACATGGTGCCAAGGAGATGGTTTAAGTCCCTGGTGGGAAGAGCAGCGTGCGAGGCCTTCGGCTCCCCGGGACACACGGATAGAGCAGCTCCCATCACCGGGAGGGGGTTCAGGAAGGCACGGAAAGGGGAAAATCCGGGATTCCTCCAGCATTAGTGGGTTTCATGCCGGCCACGAGACTACTGACTGCGATTCGCCAGCTTTTAACACAGGTGACACAAATGCAAGTTTTATTTATTCTTTTTTAAAGGAGAACGATTACCTCATAGTCTGCTTAGATCTGGCAACGTTACTAGAATTATTACTGGAGAGAAAAAAAAAAGGGACAAAAAGGACAAAACCCCCTCATGAGTGCCTAGATGATCGGTATTTGGGTAGTAGCCGACCCCAGGGACACAGGCCTGTATCCCAGGGCGTCAGGAAACGCCTCCGGGTGTTCCCACCAGCAACAGGCGGACGAGAGACACCGAGCTCCTCCGTGGCGGAAGAAAAACACGTTAAGAAGTAAATAAAGAAGTAAATGAAGAAGTAAATAAATAAACACGCCCCCCTCCCCCCCATCGCGGCGCCTCTGCCCTGA